AAAAATGATAATTAAGATTATAAAAAATGGAAAAATCCCATTCACAATATAATACAAAAATAAATACCAATGAATAAAAATTAAGATACATGAAGGAAAATAAAACTGTTGAGGATGAAATGAAAGAAGAAAATTGGACAATAAAACTCAGTATTGCAACATGTCAATTGACCTATATATTCATACAATCCACAAATGCCCACACAATTTTGAGGGGAGTGGGGATCTGGTAAAATAGTTTATCATGTATATCTTTAAAAGTTAAGATGAGGAAAGAGGCAGGAAAATCATAAGAAGGAATCATAGAAATGAAGGACTCTATACACACTGCCATAATAAGAAACTGAATAAAGACTTCAAAAGTAACTATTTAGATCAGTGGATTATCTAGCAAATAATTTTGAGACACCAGCTATGTTTCCTTCTGCAGGATGGAGGCGGGGGTGTTCAGTGAAGAGCCAGAGAACTAGTACATTTTTTAAAATAAAAAATTTTTTATTTAGACTTTATCTTTTTTTTAAAGATTTTATTTATTTGTTTATTAGAGAGAGAGAGAGCACAAGCAGGGAGAGTGGCAGGCAGAGGCAGAGGGAGAAGCAGGTTCCTTGTGGGGCTCGATTCCAAGACCCTGGGATCATGATCTGAACTGAAGGCAGACGTTTAAACGACTGAGCCACCTAGGTGCCCCATAAACTTTATCTTTTTAGAACAGTTTAAGTTGACAGCAAAACTGAGAGGAAGGTACAGAGATTTCCCACATGCCCCATGTCCCTATTTTTATTTATTTATTTTTTAATTAATTTTATTTTATTATGTTATGTTAGTCACCATCCATTACATCGTTAGTTTTTGATGTAGCGATCCATGATTCATTGTTTGCATATAACACCCAGTGCTCCATGAAATACGTGCCCTCCTTAATACCCATCACCGGGCTAGCCCATCCCCCCACCCCCCTTCACCAACCCAATATTGAGCAAAAGAAGGCAAACAAGATTATAACTCTATGACTCCATTTATTTGAATTTCAAAAGTAGGCAGAAGTCAGAAAAATGTTTACCTTTAAGGGGGATTTCTGGAATACTTCTAATGCTTTTTATCTTTATCTCTGTGTTGGTTATACAATTATATTCCCTACACATGCATATCCTCCTTCATGTTCAACAACCTCCACCAGAGTGGTATATTTGTTAAAACTGATGAACTGGCATTGAACACATCACTGCACCCAAAGTCCATAGTTTACACCACTCTTGGTAGCATTCTGGGGGTTGGACAAATGTGCAATGACACCTGTCCATCATCATGGTATCACACAGAGTATATTAAATGCTCTAAAACTCTTCTGTGCACTGCCTATTCATTCTTCTTCAACCCCAACTCCTGAAACCATTGATCTTTTTGCTGTCTCTGTAATTTCACCTATCCTAGAATATCATATTGCTGGAATCATACAGGTATGTAGCCTTTTCAGATTGGTTTCTTTCACTTAGTAATATACATTTAAGTTTCCTCCATGTCTTTTCATGTCTTGATAGCTCATTTCTTTTTAGCACTGAATCATTCCACTGTCTGGTTATACCACAGGTTATTTATCCATTCACCTACTGCAGAATATTTTGGTTGCTTCTAAGTTTAGACAATTATGAATAAAGCTTCACCTTTATGTGTAAGTTTTTTGTGGACATAAGTCTTCAACTCCTTTAGGTAAATAAGAAGGAACATGATTACTGGTTCACATGGTATGCTTAGTTTTATAAGAAACTGTCAAACTGTCTTCCAAAGTGGCTGTTATCATTTTGCATTTCCACGAGCGATGAATGAGACTTCCTGTTGCTCCACAGTCTTGCCAGCATTTGGTGTGGTCAGCATTCTGGACTTCAGCCATTCTAATAGGTGTATAGTGGTATCTATTGCTGTTTTAATCTGAACTTCCTGATGACATATGATGGGGCCCATCTTTTCCCATGTTTATTTTCCATATGGATATCTACTTTGATGAGTTTTCTATAAAGGTCTTTGGCCCATTTAAAAACAGATCAAGTTTTCTTATTGTTAAGTTTTAAGAGTTCATTGTATATTTTGGATAACAGTCATTTTTCGGATGTGTCTTTTGCAAATATTTTCTTCCAGTCTGTGGTTTGTCTTCTCTTTCTCTTGGCATTGTCTTTCAAAAGTTTTTAATTTTAATGAAATACAGTTTACCTTTTGTTTCATGTATTGTGCCTTTGGTGTTGTATTTAAAATGCCATTGTCATCCCCAGGGTCATCTAGATTTTCTCCTATGTTATCTTCTAGGAATTTTATAGTTTTGCATTTCACATTTAGGTCTGTGATCCATTTTGAATTAATTTTTGTGAAAGATGTAAAGTCCGTGTCTAGATTCATTTTTTTTTTGCATGTGGATGTCCAGTTGTTCCAGTAATTCTATTTTTTGAATTTTATCTTTTCTTTCAAAAATTCTTTTTGAATTTTACCGTTTTATTTTTTCTCCATTGTATTGTCTTTGCTACTTTGTTAAATATCAGTTGTCTATATGTGTGGGTTCTGTATTCTGCTTCATCGTTGAATTTGTATAATCTTTCACCAATACTATGCTGCCTTGATTACTGTAGCCTTATAGTAGGTCTTGAAATTGGGTAATGTCAGTCCTCCAACTTTGTTGTTTTTCTTCAATGTTATATTGGCTATTTTGGGTCTTTTGTCTCTCCATATAAACTTTAGAATCAGATTGTTGATATCCACAAAATAACTTGCTGGGATTTTGAGTGGGATTGCATTGAATCTATAGATCAAGTTGGGAAGAACTGACATCTGAGAAGTATTGAGTCTTTCCATCCATGAACATGGACTATCTCTCCATTTACTTAGTTTTTTAATTTCATTAATCAGAGTTTTGTCATTTTCCCCTATGGTTCTTATACACGTTCTGTTAGATTTATACATAAAGATTTCATTTTTGGGGGGTGCCTAGCTCATTTTTTATGCCAAAATAAATTTGCCAATGGATATAAGGTTTAAACATACAAAAGTAAATCATAATACTAACAGCAGAAAAGATGAATGGATTTTTTTTTTTACAAACTTGGCACTGTGTAAGTACAAGGTACTATGATTATAAGTGCTTTATAAAAAATAACTAATTTAATCCTCACAACACTATCAAGTAATTATTATAATCCATATTTTACAGATGAGGAAACTGAGGCTAGATAGGTTAAATGTCTTGTTCAATATTGTAAAAACAGTAAGCAGGAGAGATAAGATTTGAATCTCAGAAGTCTAGCTCCAGAGTTCATGTTCTGAACTACTATACTACAAATATATGCAGTACCCTCCTAGACAATTCTATGCATATGTACAGATTACATTTAAGCTTCTGAATTTAAAAATATTGTAAGTGAAGTAAAAAGAATATAAAAACAGTCTTGGAAAATATTTACAGCATATATTATAGATGGAATAGAATAGAATTTTAAAATATACAAATAATGTACAAATCACTAAAAAATGGATGAAAGGAAGGAGAGAAGGAAAAAGAAAGAAAGAAAAAAACAAAACAAAACAAAAGACATGAATAAGCAGTTCATTGAAAACAAATACCAATGACCAATAAGCTTATGTGTGTCACTCATCTTGAAAAAGTACCAGTTAAAAGAATGACAAAATACCACTTTTGCCTATCACATTGTCTAGTATTGAAAAGTTTAATAATACTCAATGTTTTGAACAAGGTGAAGAAAAATGGACACTCACATCCTACTGTTGAAAGTGTAAATTGATAGACCTTTTACTTGGTAATTTGGCAGCATCCATCAAAAAATTTAATTTACCTATCATTTGACCCATTAATTCCACTTCTAGATATTTATTCCATAGACATATAAGTGGCTGAAGACACATATATACAAGAATGTTCACTGCATCAGTATTTGTATCAGTGATGTTGATATATGGTCTGTATGATGATGACAATTCACCAATTGTTTGTTATTAGTCTGTGAGGAGATAAGGGGTCAGAATATAAATCAACTAAAAGCACTGTGAGTTCAGGTGACAATTTTTATTCATAGAAGTTTTTCTTGTGGTATGCTAATTTATATTCTGGTGTAAGTTCCTTATCTCAATGTAAAACAGCACTTTAGAAAAAAATTTTTTTAAAAGATTTTATTTATTTATTTGACAGAGAGAGACACAGCGAGAGAGGGAACACAAGCAGGGGGAGTGGGAGAGGAAGAAGCAGGCCTCCCACTGAGCAGCGAGCCTGATGCAGGGCTCGATCCCAGGACCCCGGGATCATGACTTGAGCTGAAGGCAGACGCTTAACGACCGAGCCACCCAGGCACCCCATAAAACAGCACTTTGAATAGCACTAGTTTATAATAACTAAAAATTGGAAATAATCCAAAAGTCCACCAAGTAGATATTTGCTAATTAGAAAAGATCCGAAATAAAATCCTATGCATTCATTTAAATAATGAAATCTACATATATATAGATATGATACATATATATACATACACATGATGGAATGGAAAAAATATTGCAGAATAGTATTAATATGGTAAGAAATGCAAGATGAAAAAGTACAAGTTTGTATATGCATAGAGTTTCTGGAAATAGACACAAGACATTGTTAACCATGGTTATCTTTGGGATGTGGGATTGAGATCATGGAGAGATAGGGTATGGGTTTTTTTTTTAAATCTTATGCCCTCCTACACTGCTTAAATGTTTCTACTGCTAGCATAAGTTATGTTTATACTTTTTCAAAACATGAATTAAAATTTTAAATTTTGTTTAAAAGTCATGAATACAAGTCAGATTAGACTCACTGCAGATCAAATTTCCAGAAACTGGCTTTGGGCTGAAATTTATTTCAGAAGACTTACTGAGACAAACTTTACATGAATTTCCATGGCGTCATCCGTGTAAAGATGTAAAAAGCACACCAGCTTGTTTTTCCAAACTTAGAAATTGGTTTTTCTTACCTTAAAAAAAAAAAAGAGTTTATTATGGGCAATACATACACTTCTCAAACCAAATTTTTAGTCTACCTCTAAGATGTGTCTCCAACCTAGGAAGTGATGAAGTTAGGATTCTGTCCCTGCAGTGTAACTATCAGTCACCTAATTCTGACCGTAACTGTTAAAAAGAAGTAAAGGACCAGAAGACTCTGCTCAAGAAGGCCCAAAGATGGTAGATCACAATATGAACTTGACAGAATCTGGGGGTCTTATATGCTTCATGGAAACCACAGTTTATATTGCCAAAAATATGGGATATTTGGCCTTACAGAGTCATCTGGAACACATTAATAATCATTAACATTTGTACAGTACATGCAGTTTGCAAAGTACTTTTATATTCACTGCCTTATTTAATCCTCACAATAGATCTTTGGAGTAGGTAAATTTCATAGATCAAATTTTATAGATGCAAACACTGGGTACACAAGATTTATGCTTATTCCCCAAAGTCACCAAGCAGTGAAGAGGCAAAGCCAGGTTATGCCAGTCCAAGTCCTTACCACCACCCCACACTGCTTTCCAAGGCATGGCCGACCTAAGCTGCCCCAGACAGAAGAGTCTGGGTGGCTTGCTTACTCTCTGTGTTTATTTGCATGATGTTATGCTGTTGAGCTGGCTGAGTTTAAAAGCAGACCATGGCTGTTGCCACTGTTTGTTAAACATTGCTACTTGGAGCAGGCAGGGATACAGACAGCAGCTTGAGTTCTTAGTCATTTTCAACAGGATCAAGCAGGATGAATAGAGGGAAATGCAATTCTGGTTGATATGGATGAAGGAAGCTCTCCCACATGCTATGTCTTCTATTGGCATGTCTGTTCTTTCCTACCTTTGTTATACTTTATCCTTTTCTCTAGGAAGTTCAAGGTAATAATAATAAAATGATCTTTCTTGAAGGTCTCTCCAACTCTGATCCCAACTATTATTACTCCACAGCAGTCTTTCATGTCAGATATCTTTCCTTTCCCAAGGCTCTTCATTAAATTCTCCATATCTCATATGCTATGTGTATTTCTACTTTCTTGCACACAAACCCTATATAGAGGAATTATAATTATGTGATAATACCTTCCACTTATTAAGCACCTATTAAATGCCAGGCATTGTGGTAGGCACTTCATGTATTGTATGTGATCTCTAAACCTTGTAGCAAATCTACAAGGTATGACTCATTCCTCTCACTTTGCAGATGAAGAAAGCCAAGCGCAGAGTGACTGAGTCTGGATCTTATGCAGTGAGTGGCAGAGCTGAGATTCAAACATAGATCTGTCTAACTTCAAAGCCAGTAATAATGCTTATTGTATTAGCTTCTCAAAGAAGGTGTTTAGTGAAAATGTTCATTTTAAAGCTATGTATTTTAACAGTTAGCATCATACTCTCTTTTCCTCGGCTCTTAAAAGGTAGGTTGGTGGTCTAAGGTGATGAAAATCAAACCTAATACAAATGCAGTGCTCCCATATCATATCCCTTACCAACCTAAAGAGACTTACAGCATATAATGGACCCTTCTGTTCTACTTCTTTCTCCACCTGGTCAACTCTCAAAGGAAAACAAAATTCATATGATCTTGAGGTCTAGAAATTAACTTTTATTTTCAATCTGTCAAGAACTCCTGGCAGTTATTAATTTTATTAAAATGATTACATATGGGAAAACAAAGAATAGAGGTAATTCTATTTCTCTACAACATAAATTATGAGTTAGATTCTTAGCTGCTGGCTCAGCATTGTTCAAGATTCTTTTAAAGGATTGGGGGGACTTTAATTTCCAGAAAACGTTAAAGCAGCAAAAGAAAAAATAAATTAAAAGTAATTGCAATTGGAGATATTGCCAAGGATGTGCTAATTATAAAATCTTCTTGATGTATTTATAGGCCAGATTCCAAGCTTTGGTATTTAAAAAAAAATCATGTGAAAGCTCTCCTATATTGCCTTGTCATCCATAGTTTATAACATAGAACAAATTTGCTGATTCTTTTCAAAAAGATGGCAAAAATGAATTATGACTAATTCAAATAAAAAACAACCAGCATCCATTCATCTAACTGAAATATGTCAAAACAAAATCAATTTTATTAAAATATTTAATACCAGAATAACTTATAATAGTATGAAAAAGAGTGAAGTACTTGTCCTTAGCTTTCTTTGACATGATCACATTTTGACAAAATTCATTTATAAAGATTCCAAAGTTTTTATCATGGATCTCTAACTATTTAAGGATGTAAACCAAAAGAACTCATACTTCATCTGATCATACAGTCATAACTTAACATATCTTGCTTTGCATTTACTGTTACTGCAAACAGCAATTTAGAAAACAAAGTAAAAATATATATATACAAAATATTTTTATATCAAATTATTTTCATTACACTAAATAAACCCAATCCCCAAATGCTATGTTACATGAAAAAGTGTCCTACAATTTATATCAAGATTGATATTGTCCATATATCAACTATAGCAGCCTTTGGTTTTAAAAGCGTTTTGCAAAATAAAGAAAAATATCACCACATGGCTGCACTATTGGCTCTCATTCACACTCACAAAAAAGCTTTCCAGTTTAAAAAAAAAATTACAAAATAGATTACATACCCAGAAAAAACATCCCACCATAAGAGTCAAATCCTTTTTACTTCTCTGTAGCACATATACTCTGTTATATTTGGCATCTCCACTGTTTATTCAAGTTTCAAGTCTCCCCAAGCTGATTAGAATATTATTGTCTGATTGAAAACTATATTCTTCTTTCTTGATATTGATTATTCTCACTCAATGATAGTTTAATTTAGAAACAAAATGTTCTTTCTTTTAATGCGTGATTTCACTTAATTTTTACTTATTTAATGTCCTACTTGGCAAAATTCAAAGACTGTCAATGTTTTGTTTTCCATATGTTTTAAATTTAAAGACCAATTGTGTGTGTGTGTATGTATATTCACAGAGATACATTTCTTTCATTGTCTTGTTCTCGTTGCAATACAAATTGTCCATTAGCAATTATAATTTGAAATGAACCAACTAAACGGTTTTTCAACCATTCCGTATGAAACAGTTTCCATCACAAAAAGCACTGAACTCTAATGCAAACAGGATCATGTGTTAAAACTAAACTATAGGTTTAGTTCTACACAGGAACATTTTGAGTTATTTATATAATAAAATTTTTAAAAACTTCAGCGAAACTTAAGAAAAAGAAAATCCAAATTAATTCTAAAAGGGCATTGTGGTATTTTTCCAGCAATGCTTGGAAAAAGTTTTTCAGATCACAATGTATCACTGGGATTCTTCTTACGTGTACATATTATGTGATCGCCGCTCCTTTTGTTTTGGACCTTTGTTGTGTGTCAGATAGGCAGGCAAGAGACATGCATGAATTTCTCACTGTCACTCTGAAAAGCATGCTGAACAATTTTAAATGCAGAAGGTTTTTTTTTTGTTTTGTTTTTTTTAGAGGAATGTTTCATTTGGGCTGAATAGACTTCCAAGTTTTAACATGTGAATTACTGAATACATCATGAGGGCTTTCAGCGAGTGTGGTTTCAGTCCTGGAATGGTTACAGGCCCGTCTGGAGTGACACACGCAGACTAACAAGCATGGTGGTGCTGTCATTTGAGGCATAGCTACTCCGCTATGCCCACGTTGTTGCTGATTTTTGGGAAGCAAGGCACTTACTGTAATGGCAATGCAGACACTTGATGCATAGTTTGAGTAACATAAAATAAGTTACTATTTTTGATTAAAGTGAGGTTTTTATAATTTATATGTCTTTTATAGAAGCAACTAAATGATCTAGTTAGGATAATTAAAAATAAGAAGTGGTTTGAAAGGGAGTCATTTCCACTTCTGCTTCGGCTCTTAAGGAGGAGGATTTAGGGGAAAACACTGACGTGAAGAACAGCCATTGGTCTGAAAAGCGACAAACCCTTAAAACTGCTGGGCCAGTGGCACTTTGACGGTCTTTACTTCTGCTATATGTGACGACTTCTGGATGATGCAGCTGGTAGTTCCCTGCAGGGTGTCTTTGCCCTGTGCAAGATTGGTTAAGGCCATAGCTGCATTAATCTCCTTCCAGTAAGTGTCATCCTTGCTTGGTCCCTTCCTGTTGGCTGCACTGGATTTAAGCAAAAAAAAAAAAAAAAAAGAAAGAAAGAAAATGATCAAACTCACTGCAGTGTACATGGAAAATGCCATCAGTGAAAAGCACAAATGGCAGATAAAAACATATTTCTCACCTGTCGCCCTTATTGGATCCATTTTCCAGAGTGTCTGTAAAGACAAGCAAAAATTCAATTATTTTTCTTTTTCTCTTTCTGTTTTAATCTCTGGAGTTGCATCATTAATGAGCGGGAATAGAAGCTCATCAGGAAATATGGTTGAAAATCAGTTAATTTTTTTTTCTACAAAGATAAAGTAGTTTAAATTAAGATACAAAAGAAATCTCTCTGCAAATGAGAACAGGTAATATAAAGTACAAAATAGCTTCCGTAGATACACAAAAGTCTGACGTTGATTTATTCTGAGAAATTGGGCTCTTTCATGAGGAGGCAAACAGTATAGGGACAAGAACGCTAACTTTTCCTGTGGTCACTGGTCTCACTTCCCCACTCACCTGCTGTGTACCTTTGGACAGGCTATGATGCTCCCACAAAGTCTGGGATGCAGTTTCCTCAACTATAAAATAAGGGAGTTCCTAGAACTTCAGGGTGCCTCTGGTTCAATATTTTATGCATGACTTCATATGGGAATCAAACCTTTCTCTCAGAAAAAGTACTGACAAATAGTTCTGTCTGGCTAGCTAGCAAATGAGCGACAGATTCAATGTAGCAGCACAGGACTTCTGGCCCTATTAGAATAATAGGGCACCAGCCTTCTAGTGGCAAAGGAACCCCTCATATTGCAGGAAATGAGCATTACGGTGTGAGCTTTGCTTATGCATTCTCTCTTTTGGTGTAGATTTCCTCCCTCTCTCAAGCACTAATGTCTACCAATGCAAACATCAATATCAAGAAAGACGAAATGGGCTATTGATCTTGATTAACTCTCCCTAGGTAGCTTTTAGGCTAAAAGAATATGGTATTGGGAACACAAAAATAGACATGCTGGAGGGAAAGATATAGAGAGGGTGAAGAGGATCTGCTAGCATGGCATGGGAAGTGGGGACAAAGGAGCAGGGTTGGGACTCCCCATCAACCTACAAGACTCCAAAACTAGGTTAAGTCATGACGACCACCACCACCACCACCACCACCATCATCATCAAAAACAACAATAAATATTACCAAGTAGTTACAGAATGAGGCACTTTGCCCTACACAGGAAACATGAAAAACACAATATTTACTCAAGGCCTTCTACTGGTTCTATGGCTTTTGGAAAGCTGTCTTTCCTGCCCTCCATCCTCTCCCTTTGTTTTACCTTCCCCAACCCAATATATTTGAAGGCATTTTTCCCCCCTCTACAATACCCAAGGCTAGTAAGGCCAGGCCGCATAATTTTCCAGTTCTGGGCTCTAAGATAGTCATGGGACTTGAGAATAAGAACATCAACATGATCATAATACAGTGTAACCAGGGTAAAATTTTCCAAGGAAGATATGGTCAAGAGGAAATCATTATATGTCCATGGAGATGAGGCAGCTAAACTCCTGTGTCCTCTAAGGAAAAGAATTAGGAAAGCCTGTTAGTGCATACTGAGTCAGGCATCCTGGTGTGGACCTGGGTAAAATAATGGGTCACTATGGGCTCTTCGTACAACCTTTCCCAGGGACCCAGGGAGCTTAAAAAAAAAAAAAAGAAGGCAGGCAAACAAAACAAAAACAGTGCATAATTGACAAGGCTGTTATGAAGAATAAATGAGTTGCTATGTGTCTGGCCCAAAACAGAACAACAAACATTGTCCCTTTCTTTGATATCCTTTCATTTAGGGGTCCTTTGAGGGAAACAGCTCAATCTGTGAGAAGTTGGATGGTCACCCTCTGGATCTTCTGGTCCCTACTAGGTTGGCCTGGATGGTTAGCTATATTTCTGCTGCTCTTGATATTTTTGGAATCATACAATTACTTATGTAACTGAAGGAAGAGAAAGACAGTTTTTAATTCACAGAACTCTAATAATCCTAGTTTACAGATCACTTCCTATGTGCCAGGCAGTAGTCTAAGCACTTTGTGTCTTAGCTTATTTTGTATTAGTGACTCTGTATGTGGATAGCATGTCTCTGTTGTGTCTGTTAAGTCATTCTTTGTTTCGTACTATTATCTGTAAATCTTTACTCAGGAATGACAGAGTCAAGGCCTTTGTTTAGGAGGAGGAAAGCCAGCAACACTGGCTATTTTACAGAAAAAAAAAAAAAAAGAGTTAAGCCTTTGCTCAGTTTTGCCCACAAATTACAACAATTCTGTTGCCAAAGTGAAGCAATAGGTTATGGAGATATTTATTCAATGGAAAGACTTGGCAAAAGCAGAATAAGTTCCATGAAGCTTAAATAACATTAGGGAAATAACAAAACATAATTTAGAAAAGACCATGTAACTGATGCTCTGGCTTACAAACAAAGCAGTCTCACATATTCAAAGGGGACCAGAGTTGGATTCCCTACCTGAATGGTCAACCCGAGAGTGATTACCGCACAGACGACAAGAAGGAAGCCTGTGGCTATCAAATATGTAATGGGTTACAGAACCCAGAAATGCCATAAGTGAGTGGAGCCTGCCTGCGAAAGGAGAACATGGAATTCACTGTGAAGGTCCACGGAGAGCTTCTATTTAAGAGGATGCATGAACTTGCATGTCCTGCAGCCCCATCAAAGGCGGCTGCTTCCCTGAACTTGTTCCATGGAGAAACAAGTTGACTACAGCCAACTGTGAAATTATAAAATTCTGCTTACTCCTTGGGTGTATGTGTTTTACAGTGTGGTGCCTATGAAAATACCTTTGAAGTGTAAAACATAGATTCCAATCCCTGTTCGGGTGTTCTTAATTAGTTTCACAAATTTCAACAATGTCCCCAGCAGCGTTCAAAAGATTGCATCCTGCGTTTTATTTCTAAAGCTGACGGGTACATTCAATGTCATTAGGTACGGATTCAGGTTCTTTTCCCAGCAATGGAAGAAAGGTCTTCGTAAAAAGCAATGAATAGAAGAGACATTTTGCTTCTCTATCAATAGCAATGCGAAAACAGTGTGTAACAAAGCTCAATGTCAAACATTTCAAACCAACAAGAAAGAGGTGACTACTACTATTTGGGGCGGAGGGGGGTGGGGAGAGTCTCTGTGTCCAGGGTGCTTTTGGTTCAAAACATAAACTGGTGTTAGAAGGGCATGCTTTTGCTGTTGCTGTTATTGGTGGGTTGCCCGGTGTCACTAGGATATTAGGCGTCCAAGAGCCACCTCCTGCAGAGTAGTGTGTTCTAGTTCCCAGAAGAACTAGCAGAAGGAAGATAGCAAACAGGGGCCCTTTTACTCTGAAACATTTGTGCTTTTGCAGGAAAGCAAAGGACAATAAAGATCTGGTGGTTTGGGAAGATTATTTTTCTAGTCCTTATGCTGGGATGAAATCTGGGGAAATACCCCAGCTATTTTAGAGAACTGATATCATTTGAGGGGAACTCAGAAAATGTACAATCTAACTCCTTATATTAAATAACTCTATTAAATGTGAAGACGTTTTTTTCTTATGCTTTTTTTCTTTTTGAAGTGTAAACTTGCTGGCTCTTATCTGATCCAAGTATTTTGTGTCTTTTCAGCCAATAGATAGGTGTGGTGGGTCTACTGACCCACCACCAGTGCTCAGGGGGCTCATACCACTTCTGTCCACTGCAGACAGGTGGTCTCACTGGCTCCTGTCCAGGAGCGGCATCCAGTCACAATCTGACAGGAGAGGGAAGGATTCAGAATCCTGCTGAAAAGACAGAAATCTTAAGTCTGAGTAAGAGCAGACGTTTCACTGCTGTTAATTAACATGCACAGACAACTTAGGGTCTGATTGCCCTACATTCAGCTCAGCTGTATCTCTCACTCTGCAAGTAGCTTGGCTGGGCCTCTCCGAAGTCTGGGCTATAAAATGCCTTTTTAGATTCTAAGGTTCCAAAAATCAGCTACGCTGTCAATTACCATAAAAGCAACTGGTTGGCAGGAACAACTTATTGAACCAGCCAGAAGAGCATGTTTTAAGACCAAAAAAGAAAAGGAAAGAAAAAAAAAGAGGTGCGTAGTTAGGAAAATCTTGGATGCCATAAAACCCAAACCATGTTGAAACTTAAAGTGGGGCTATCCTCAGTTTGGACATGTGTTTCCTTATAAAGTTACGTTGAGAAACAATTATACGGAAAACCACTTCTATTGCAATTCAAGACGTGTAAGCACCAAGCTCTGTGGGCAAAGTGTCCACTCAACTTTGATAAATGCAATTTAGAAACATATTAGTTCTGATATATATTCCTGAAGTAAGAGTTACCGGTCATAGAAAGAGACAAAAATATGGCCAAATATGTTTCTCTGAAATTTTTTTTTTCAAATTTAATCAATAAGCCCTAAAGTTAGGAATGTTTAAAAAATATTCCACAAATGTGGAGCAATAACTCACATCACTGAAATGTAAATAAAGAATATGAGGATTTTAAAAAATTAAATAATCTAAAAATCGCATACTACATATTTCCCTAAATTGAAATGGAGTGAGTCAGAGCTCCAGACGCTTGACAACTACGCCCCCTCACACTGTGTCCGTTTTGGGGTCATCACTAGGGACAGCTGATGTGGACAGCCAGGGTTTGGTGTGTTTCTGATCTCAGAGGTCCCAAGAGCTCCCAGGACACCAGATCAATTTCTGGAGTTATTTACATACTTGGAACAGTTGAGATAAAGAACAAGACTCTGGTGAACCGGGCAGATGGAAAACCTCTCTGAAGCTTACGAAATGCCGACGGCTCTAAATCTACAGGACCTTACCCCAAATGGACAAAGCGATCCCTGGGGTTCCCTGCTCCCACCTCCACAGTCTCTATCTTTATCTCCCCGCATACTGGATCCAGGCGGGGGTCACACACACACATACAGATTGGTTCCACTCTGACTCTACACTTTCCTTTTAAAAATAGCATATGCTGTTTCTCTAATAAGAAGGTCATACAGGTTCACTGCGGAAAATCTGGGGAAAAGTGTAAAAGAGAAAATAAAGGCAATTTAGGGATAACTAATATAATATTTGAATATATGGCTTTTCAAGCAAGTTTATATATGTTTTTAAAAATAGGGTCATTCTGTACATGTTT